TAATTTATGACGTAGATATTATATCAATATTACAGTAAATTAAAATTGAACGAATTCAAAAATATATTTTTTATATAACGATCATGCCGAAAAAATTACCAGCCGAAAATTTTTTTCGCCTAATTTTTTATAGGTGTCCCAGGAATAATGAAAACAGCTGTAAGAAAATTTTTTATAAAAAAAAACCCCCGTGCGGCCGTGTCACTAAATGCTGGTTCATGATATGAAAATCAATTAATTTAATTTGCGCGGCCTAATGTCAATTTATAAAATGTAAATACTATTTTAAATTTATTTTAAAGTCATTACCTAAGAATTAGAGCTCCAGCCCACAAAACGACGCCGTTTTTCTAGTTATATCTAGTATCAGATTCGGATACTTAAATAGATATCGGATACTTTATTATTATCTAGCAGGTATGACGTATACGTTTACGTAAAGAATTCTATATTAATTCCGCAGAATTTTATAATAAAATTAATAAGACTTTGTCACATAATTTTAATGAAAATGCTTACATAGTATCTGCCGGATAATTACTAATTTAATGTGAATAAGAAGCCGAATAAGAAGTGGTCAGCTCATATCAATTACTTAGACCAATAAATAATCATTATACTTGGAGACTAGGCCAATACACTAAAAAGTTAAACGAGAAATGCATTAATGCATTGATGGTTTTTATATTATGCTCAATAAGAATAACAAATTCATTAAGAATAAAATAAATATCCCAAAGACTTTGATTGATAATTAAGTATTGCAGAATAATACTCGAAAGTGAAAATTTAAGTTCTCACGGTAATGGATTTAACTCCAGGATTTTGATATTCTGGTTATTTTTACTATTTTCTAACTAAAATCTTACTAAATTAATTAAGTAACCACTTTTTTATTTATACCTCTATACGTGTATACTATAATTATTTATTTTACTTCATTACAGCGCGTTTGTCAAATTTAACTAATTTTTTGTCCCCAAATTTTGGGTTTGGGGACAAAATTTATTATCGATATTCTAATATTGAAATTATTGACACTCCCCCATAGGCTAACCCATCTTCCCACTCTTTCACACGCACCTTAACCTGGGAAGGATTACCAAAATTACTATTTACGTATTAGCAATCAAAATTTAAATATTGGGTATTTTGCAAATGCGCCGTAACGTGAATACGTATTTTAGAGGTGCTAATGGCTTATTGCTAAGAATTGTGGGTTCAGTAATCCACATTACTAATGTAGGATAATCTGATAAGATAATAATCGTCCAATATATGAGACCTGTTTAGTTAGATCACACTTATATTTTTATATAATGGCTCAGAAAATATTTGCATCTTTTTTTTCGTTTAAAATTTTTATAAAATTATTAATTAATACTTCTTAAAATTTTAAAATTTTTTGTAAGATTGTTATAAGCAAAATAAGATTACAGTTTAATATAAGCTTAAGTTTTAAAAAAGAACCCTGCATACAATATTTTTATAGGAGACACAAAACGTCCATAGATTTGGTATCAATTTTTTTTCGGATCTTAAAAAAATTTAAATGGTAACAGAATTTAAATAATTGTATCCTTTAATAGCCACTTAAAGCAATCGTGTTTATTACTCATATTAATATCAATATTCTTTTACGTATATAAAAATATCTTAGAAGAAAATTCATTATTTAACCAACAGGCGAGCTTATTATTGAAATTTCTATATCATTTAAAAGTACAAGCAGAAATTCTTATACTATCTACAGTATAAATGAACACATGTACTAGGATTGATTGAATACTAAGAACTTAAAGTTTATCGAAATAAAGCTATTAACGTACATGAAGCCGAAGAATCTGCCGCTTGCTGGCATAAAAGTAAATTGAAAAGATGAAGTAAAATTAATTCCTATAAATATAAAACATTCTTTACTATTATGAGTCTGAGCGTTATTCACATTTAAATGTTAATAGTTGTCACTCATCAAGAGATGTTGAGGGGTGTTACAAATAGAAACAGTTATAGTATTTTGTTTACCAAGAGCGTTACTATGACGGGCGGGTGAAAAAAAACCAGAATTGCCTGGAAAACTTGCTGAATTCTATGTATCAAAACTTAGTGTTATGTATGCAAATACAAGAAAATTTCTCGTGACTGTCGTCTCGACGGGCCTTTTTCAGCAATTCAAATTATGATGTCCGGAAATCCATTATTCACCTGAAACAAATAAGCAATAACTGCCGTCTAGACAAGTCACCAAGGGCGTTCTCAAGCGCCTCAATTAATGGGTCAAAGTATGTCAAAAATGTGTCGGGTATTAAATTTTAATTAACGGAAAGTAATTTTAATCGATCAATCGAGCTTGTCATTAAGATGAGTAAGGTAGTTTATTA